GTTTTATTCATATCAAATTAAATTTGATTGATATCTGCTCTAACAAAGATTTCCTTTGCAGCTTCTTCAATTACTTTCAAATTCTCTTTGATAGTTTTTAAGCTGTAGACTAGATCAATATCATTCACATAACTCAGAGATCACACTATTCTCATATTTCTATTTTTGAATAGATATGCAGTGTATATTGCAAATAAAATGGGTGAGATTGAAGACCCCTGTGATACTCCTATTTTTATCTCAGTCTTGTCTTGTTTCATTCCATCAAAGAAGAGTTGTATAATTCTTTTAGATATAAAACAGTTAACTCATTTTATTAGGGAAAGTGGCAGTTTTAATATCTTCAATGTCTGAATTAACTTTGACTTTGAAACATGATCAAATGCTTCTTTTATATTAATAAAAACTGCAGTTGAGACCAGACTCTCATGCTTTGCTATTTGAATATCATGAACAACTGAGAGAACAGTGTCAATTGCAGAACACTGTTTTCTATCTCTCATTTGTTCACTGAATAAAAGAGAATCACCTATAGAGCTTATAAAAGATAGTTGAGTAGCTATTATCTTTTCTAAAACCTTTCCTAGGCAGTTCAATAGAGATATTACTCTATATGACTTAGGAATTGAAGTTTTTCTATTAGGTTTTGCAAGAATCACTCCAGTGGCTTCTCTCCAGCATTCAGAATGATATCCATTTTTCAAGAGATTGAAAAAGAGCTCAAAATATTCATTCTTTAAGTAGGAATATGTATTTTGAATAATCAAGTGATTAATTGAATCAGGACCTGCAGCAGATTTAACAGAACTTGAGAAGATAGCTGACTCTAATTCATCTTATGTAAGATCAGGCCATTCCCAGTCATTTTCATCAATGTAGTTGAGAAGTGATATATTCTCTTTCTCTGAATCTGAATCTGAATCTGGTGAGTTCTGAAAGAGAATTCTCATGAAAGCTTGACATTTTTCCTCAAAAGAGTTTGCTGTATATGATTCATTCTGAAACTCATATTCTAAGGCTGGAAGTTTTGCTACACTTCTTGTTTTAGTATAGTTAAAAGCTTTAAAAACTTCCTTCTCTTGTGCTTCTTCAAGAAATTTATTCCAGCAGTCTGTTTTAGCTCTTTTAATATCTGAAAAATATTCATTTCTGACAGCTTTGAACTCTTCATCAGATATTACATCATTCTTTCAATCTCTTCTAGCAGTAGCTAATTCTTTTCTTTTACATGAGATATTCTCATTTCATCAAGGTTTTGAATACTCAGAAGATTTTCTTTTTGGAATATTATCTCTAACACTTGTTAGAATGATAGATGTAATAAGCTTCACTCTATTCTCAAGCATTTCATTTGAGATATCTTGACCAGAATTCCAATATAGCTCATTCTGTCTTTCAGATTTTAACAGTTTTATGCTTTCTTCAACTGCTTTTCAATCAGCTTTTTCAAAGTTATACTGATTAGAGAGAAGAGGATTTTCACTCATTTATTTTTCACTCAGTTCAATATCAAATTGAATAATCTCATGACCTGATTCTGATGTCTCATTTGAATCAATAAACCAGTTTACAAGTCTTCTTTTCATTAGATTTTGTGACATGAATGTTAGATCTATAATAGACTTCTGTTTCATGCCTTTTCTAAAGAATGTTTGTTGATCAGACTTATTAACCAAATCTATTGAATGCTCAAAGGTTCATTCAATCAGATTATCAGCTCTCACTGCTCTCTTGCATTCTGAATTTCATCAGAGATGATGTGCATTGAAATCTCCTGCAATTATAGAGTTTCTTGATGAAGTTATGTTCAGAAATCCTCTATCAATTGTTCAGATATTGTTATTTTTCTTCAATGACTTTTCATTATAGATATTTATGAGCTGTATAGTATCAAACTCATTTTCTTTATCTATAATATCACCCACCAGAATATCAGGGTCAGACATAATATCAAATCTTAGATTAAATTGATATCTTGATCTCTTTCTTCCATAGATCACTACTCTTGACTTTATCTCAGACTTTTGAGATAAAAAGCAGTAGTAGCTTGAATGAGAAATGACATATTTTTACTCAGCATCAAAATTCGGCTCCTGAAGCAGTATAAAATCAACTTTTTATTCAAATGCAATTTGAAGACAAGAATAAATGCAATTTGAGTTTCTATTCACATTATTTTGAATAAATGTGATTTTTGAAGAGTTTTTAAACTTTTTTTGTTGTTTTTGTTGTATATTCATACTAAAAGAGAGTAGAGAAGAATCTAATTACTATCATCAGATAGTAGATTATAACTGTTCTGAAAAGTAGAAATCTCAACTGCTTGCATTATATCTAGTTTATCATCAGAGTCATTTCTCAATTCTCTAATCTTAACAGAAGTTTGAGGATTCAAATTCTGTTTACATTTCACTGAAGAATTGAAGTTTAAAGACTTAGATAATTGAGAGTTTCTTCTTTTTAAGCTTGCAGTTGTGAGTTTACTGACTTGACTCTTCTCTTCAGTTCTAGATTGACTTTGAGCTTCATCTTTTCTTCAGTTCTTTTGAGTTCTAGAAGTAAACATACATTCTTTTGAGCTAGATGCATGTTTTTCTTTGCAATTAGAGCACTTAAGCAGAGTATGTTGACAAATTTCATCTCTTTTTGAGCATGTTTCACATTTATGCTCACTAGTTTTGTGATCTCTGGCACAGAATGCACATTTTGAGTCTCTAAAACATGAGATTACAAAGTGTTCATATCTTTGACAGTTTGAACACTGTGTTTGAGCTTTGAGATTCATTCTTGAGTCTTTGTATTCATGAACTCTCATTTTCAAACCTGCTACTCTTACTTCAGAGATCTTTGACTGTTCAAGTGTTTTTATATATACTAGAACAGAGGCATTTCTCCTGCTTTGTCTGAACTTAATTGAATTTAGTCATACAGGCTTCTTTCTCAGTTGAATGAAGTTGTATTCTTTCAATTCATTTTTGAGAAGTAGCATTTCTTCTTCACAGTCAAAAATTTCAACTGAAATATCATAAAGAATGAATTTGTCTCACTTTTCATCTCTTTCAGATAGAATTATTGTGTTTAGCAATGATTCTACTGCTGACTTTCAGAGATTCTCATTCTGAATAAGGAATTCAGCACTGAATTCAGGCATTGTAGTCAGAATAATAGAGTTTTCAAAGAATAATGACTCAATTGAAGCTATAACTGGTTTTTGAACTTCAATATCAGTCATCAACTGAGAAAAGAACTGCTGATTAATTTCATTTCTGATTCTGAAAATGAGATTTGAGTTTAGCTTGTTTCTTTGCAGAATGTCCTGATTTGAGACTTTGAGAATGAGTCTTCTATTTCTAGAGATTTGAAAGTTTTTCTCTTTTTGCATTTTCTTTTTCACTTTTCTATGAATAGAGGCATGAGCAGTATTCTTCTCAGTTTTCTCAGAATTTTGAGCAGGTTTTGAGACAGCAGGTTTAGAGACAGCAGATTCAGCTGCTTGAGCATATATTTTCTTCTGATTCAAGGAAGAAGAAGAAGTAGGAAGAAAGGAAGAAGAAGAGCAAGATAAAGAGTCAGTGATTGTACTAGGAATTTTCAAGGTTTTTTGAACTGTGTTTGAGATTTCAAGTTTGAACTTGATCACCTCCTGTAGTTGTCTGGCCTGAGCATGAAGAATTAACAGAACTTCTTTATTCATCTCACTCAGACACTGCTTTTCAAGAATCTTGCTTGCTTTTTCAAGTTCCTGTATTTCAAGAACTTGTTGTTTCTCTATTTCTTCTTTCTTTCTTCTCTTCAGAATTTCAATCTCAGAAATAGCATTTGAGAAAGCATCTTTTTCCACATCAACTGAGTGTATTTTTGAACTCATTGTTTTCACTCAATGAAAAGTTGGTCAGACTGTTTCAATTGAGATATTTCTAAGTCTGTTTTCAATTGAAAAGTTGGTCAGACTGTTTCAAAAGAAGAATAAAAGACTTTTGTGTATAAAACACCTGATTTTTTTCACACTAGTTCAGTAACTAGGTTAGATTTTTGAAGAGAATCTAATAAACTAAAATTGATTTTTAAGATAAATCAATAAAATCTTTACAATCTCTTTCTTGGGATACAGTGAGAAAAAGTATGATATCAATTGATAATAAATCAGATGATATGACAGTTTTTGAGAGAAAAACTGACAAAAAATAAATCAATTTTTTGCAGAGAAATTGATTAAAACTATTCAATTTTATTCTAAATCATTCAATTCTCCTCACACAACAAGTGTGCAACTCAAATCAGTTAATAAAGAGTGTAAAAAAGAATTAAGTATTAATGAAAGCTCTTCAGTCACTGAAAAAGTAATTCTTACTTAAAAGAATATGAAATTATGACAGAAAACAACTCTGTTTTTAATTCTTTGTAAGAATATTGTGTAAAACCCAGAGAAAAACACCTTACTTTTTCAAGAGAAGTAAAAAACTATTTCTAAGATCTTTTTTTTTTTGCATTAACTGCTGCAGAAGAATGAGATAGAAACTGCTAAGATATGCACTACTGTATACTCTCTATCAAGACTTTCCCTCTTCAGGGTCTTGATATTATAGAGAATATAAGTCTGTTTCTATATGATAATATAAATATTGCCAGCGGGATGTAGAGGAACTGGTTATTTATATCTCAAAATAGAAGACTTTGTCAATGATTATATCAATATAGAGTTAATTCTCAAATTCAATAGAAACCTAGTGTTGCTGTTCTCAATCCCTTGCAGAATCTATTGAATATTGAGGTATTAAAACTAGATTTAATATATCTCACTGTGCAGGGATCAAAGGCTCAGTCAGACCTTGAGATATACTGATTTTATAGTTGTTGGTGTGCTGTTGACTCGTTGTCCACTGATTATGTATTGAATACTGTTGCCGAGGTATCTTTTTGTATCGTTCTGCTGGGGATGGGCCAGATTGAGAGGGGTAGTACAGGGGTGAGACTTGGTGTTGAAGTCTAGATACACTGGCGGCGGACCGTGGAGGTTGCACTTCAGAAGAGTCTGTTGATTATGTGCTTGATATTATCGCCGAGGTATCTTTTTGTATTTTTCTGCCGGGGATGGGCCAGATTGGGAAGGGCGGTACGAGGGTGAGACTTGGCGTTGGTGTTTTGGAACATCAAAGATGGACAGGGTTTTCGCGGAGGTCGCTCCTCGGATATCTCCACAACTACAGGTCGGGGGTCTTCCAAAATCGAGAAGATTGGTGCATATGGCTAGGTCACTTCACCTTACAATTTGTATGGCACTCTGGCCCGGGGTTGTGGTGTGGTAGGGGAGAACGGGGGATAATCCCACACAGGAGCTTCGAACAACGTCCGGTTCACGTTTGGCTGGATAACTCCACCACCACACGGGGTATGCGGTCGGCGATGGGGTCAAAATGCTCGTATGATCGAGGGCTTTTCGATGGATCTATCGGCGGGTTCTTATTCGAAAAATCGAGCGAGTTCGACTTGAACTGAGTGTTATAAAGAGATTGACTGAAGAGTCTCTCAATCTCTTATAAGAGAAGAGAAAAAAGAGATAAAAGAAGCCTGTATAACTACTCTCTATAACACTGAGAGTTAACACTCTGAGAATCTCTGTGAGAATTCTTGAAGAGAGTATCTATAATCTGAAGAGTTTGCAGACTTTGAGAAGTACTGTTCTGACTATTCTGTAGAATCACTCACAGTGTAAGCAAATCTCTCTAGAGTAGTATAAATATCTCAGATCTGTCTGCAGAATCTCATCTTCTTTTTTCTTTTTCTGTAACAGCTCTTATAAACTGTGAGTATTCTCATTCATCTGTGAAGTGTTTTCACTCAGATGATAGAGAGAGAGTGTTCCTGACAATGTCTGTATATTGATTCAAGAACTTCTCAAGAATAAAATTTTTTTCAATTTCAATATCTTTATAAACAATGTCTGATCACTGCTGAGCTTCTTGTGAGTGTTTCTGCAACTTCTCTAGTCACTTTTTGCCAGCTGATGAAGCAGGGGCGCTGCCACTCATGACCATGCCTTCATCTCTCTCAGCCTTGTCACTGCACCCGATCTTCGGGCCAGCGGTCAACCTCATGTCTTTCTCAGGTCAGTCCCTGACTTCAAGCAGTGCAGTCTCTCTCTTTGCTGTAAATCTTCTCATAAGTAATTTCTTACAGACTCTAGCTGACAGTTCTTACACTTCATCTGAAACTATAATCACTGTTCTTTTATTATCTCATGAAAGAACTGTAGAAAAGATCTATTAAAATCACTCAATGTCTCTGATAGAATCTGATAAGATATAGTAATTGACTTCACTGTTAATCTATCTAAGAGTAAGAGTTGTAGAAACATTCTGATCATCATAAATTAACTCAGTAAAGATATAATCTTGAAATCTTATAATAAGATGAATACTGAACAAGTCACTGAAACTTTTCTATAAAGCTCATTCTATCAGATGCATGAATTGCTGAGATCTATAGTATCAGATTAGAACTGTCAATTCATAAGTACTCTCTGAATAAAAATCTGTCAAGTTCTCAAGATTATATACTGTCTATCAACTGTCTATCACTCTGAGACTGATAATACATCAGAACAGATAATTCAGATTATGAAGAATTATCTCTATAAGTTCTGTAATTACTTATAAGATAATTAGTATAATCTTCTTCTACACACAAAGATCACTATTAACAGTTGAGATGTCATTTTAATAGATATAAGCTCATTCTTTCTTACACATAGATATCATATGAAAGTGTTAAATCTTCTAGAGATCGCACAGTTCACACTGAACTCTTACAGTTCAATTCAGATTACTGATAATATAGTAATAAAGCTTCAAGATATCTGTGATTAAGCAGAAGTCTTTATGACAACTGTGAAACAAGATTAAGAGAATCAAATCAATGTTTACTAAGATCTTACTGAATAATATAAGATAGAAGATCTGATATGATTGAATCTTAAGAATATACAAATCACATATTCATCTTGTATGCTAAATTATCATCATATCAAGTATAAAGTGATAGAAGTTCTAGATAGTCACAACTATCATCTTAATATATTATCAGAGATTTATGATGTATTTCATACAAGCTTGCTCTGCTATACTATCACTGATTCATTCCCTTCTTAACTGACTTCTGACTGACAGTCACCAGACATTATAGAAGAAGATAATGAGTTTGAGTGAGAGATTAAGAATATTCTCAATGAGAGATTCTGTGACTGCAGTCAGTAATATCTTATGAAATGAGTCAGCTACAATCAACTGATCTGAACTTCAAGTTCTGTATTATCTGAAACAGCGGCTCTTGACTGATGAGAACTGCTTCTGAAAGAAGGGGTTAATGTGACAAGCTGTGTCTGATCAATTATATAGACTATTCTGTTACACTTCACAGATTTCAATCACTTCATTCTCAAATATGTACACTTCAATTCTCAGCCATTCTCAATCACTGATTCTCAGCTGCTATAAACACATACACTCTGATTCTCAGTCATTCTCAATCACCAATTCTCAGCTGCTACAAACACATGTATATTCTTTCACCCCGAAGCTTCACTGTGTACATCATCACATACACATATAAATATTCATCTCAATCACTGATTCTCGCACTTTCTCTTTCTTTTCTTCTCTAACATTTTTATCTTTGTTATATAAGACCTATCAATATAATACTAATCTATTCAGCGTAGACCTCTTACAGTATTATAGATACTGTTTTAATATACTTATCAGACATTCTGTCTGATTATCTATCTATTGATGAAAAGCTGTACTTAGATCTTGTAAGATCTCTAGTATAGTTATCAGATCAGATCAGAACTCTTCTATGAAGATTAATTCTCTGTCTAAGATAATATTTACAGGTAATTCATGCAATCAGATTACATTATGAATAAAGATATGAGTTAAATTCTTTAACTTCAAGTTTTTGTGAATAAGTATAAAGTATGTTATCTTAATGAAGTGATTCACTATTATCAGCATACTGTTAAAACAGATATTATATATACTCTTACTTTCAGAGAGACTTATAAGAGTATTTATTTCTAGCTGTTTTCAAGATTTCTGTGAGATGAGTAGAAAAGTAAGTTCTTTATATAGTCTGAACTGCACTATCTGCAAACTCTGATAAATAGTATAAGAATTCACTATCTTCTTCACAAGTTCTTGCATCTTCAATTAGAAGTATTTTCTTATAAGTAACTTGTAAGTTCTAGTATCTGTAAAATGACCTGTTAGAGAAGAGTTATAATATCTTTTAATGAGTTCTATATGTAGAAACTCATTTACTGATATATAAATCTGACTCTCTCTTTATAAGAGATTATTTAAGTCTCTTTAATTCTTTATTTCTGTAGAATTGATCTCTGTTATAAGTAGTTTCTGAATATACTGAGTATATTTATTCTTCAGTTGTAGTTCAGATAATCTGAATAGAAGATCTTATAAAGACTTATACTCTGTTACTTTTTACATCAGATCTTTTACAGTGCTTCTCAAAGTCTGCAAACTCTTCAGATTATAGATACTCTCTTCAAGAATTCTTACAGAGATTCTCAGAGTATTGACTCTCAGTGTTATAAAAAGTAGTTATACAGACTTCTTTTCTCTCTCTTTCTTCTTCTCTTATAAGAGATTGAGAGACTCTTCAGTCAATCTCTTTATAACACTCAGTCTGAGTATTCTGTGAAGCTTTTCTGTCTTCTCTAATCTCTCTGTATCTGTTGCTCTGATTTTCTTAACATAGTCTGATCTATAAGAGAATTTATCTGCTGAGTTCTTAGTTCTCTTAATATGTTCTATCTTGAATTAGAACTCACTCAGTCTCTGAGCTTAGTAAATCTGCTGTTATGAGAGTTTCTTGATTAAAGTAAACTGTTATAAGCTGTTATAATCAGTTCTAACAGTAATCACTGTTATAAGACTCTCAAAGTAATAATATCAGTAATGAAAGAATTTCACTATTATAAGAAGCTTCTAATTATAAATATTATAGTTGATCTTCATAAGTTGCATCTTCTGTAAGAAAAAGATCACTGAAACCTAGTTTTCATTTAACTATAGTTATAAGACTATTTCTGAAATTGTAAAGAAGAAGATATCTGTCTTCAATCTGATTAAAAGTAAGAGATTAAAGTGAAACAGTATCACTGTGTCTGTGAATATCTGTTTCAATCTTGTAAAGACTCTGTAAGCTTCTGAAATAAGAAAATTCTCACAGCTTTTTCTTCTTAACAATCTTTTCATTCTCTATTTATAGAATAACTTCTACTTATTTTTATTCTTCAGCATGTCTGTAAGAGTTAAGAAGATTCTTATGAATATAAAGATAAATTATTTATAGAAATTCATAAAGCTCAGAAAGATCTGAATCTTATAAATACTAGTTAACTCTGATTATAATAGAATAGTCTCAATCTGTGAAGATTTCATCTGAATATCATCTATGATAATTATATATTCTAGAAAATTAATCTGACAGACACTGAAGTTGTACTTTGTAAGCTTAATATACAGTTCTGTCTTATCTAAGATCTTCAACACACTTTGTATATACTCAGTATATTCTTTCTTCTTCATGAAGTACATTATCACATCATTCAGATATATTATCATGAAGATATTCAGATATATATAAAGTGTTTTATTAATAAAAGACTGAAATACTGCAGAGACATTGATCAGACTAAAAGACATTACTAGATATTTAAATAATTTCAGTGTAGTTTTAAAGACAGTCTTTCATTCATCTTCAGACTGTATTCACAGCTATGTATATATATTAATTATATTTAGTTGTGTGAATATAATAGCTTCTGTGAGATAGTTGATTATATTCTCAATCAGAGATAGAAAATAGTGACTCTTTATTATCTTAAAGTTCAGATTATAATAGTTTATATATAATCTGAGATCTTTATTCTTCTTTTTTATAAATATCACAGAGGCTTCTGCAGAGATCTGTGAAGATCAGATAAAGTTATTCTTTAGATTCTTCTTTACATAGATTTATAAGATCTCTGTCTCATAATGAGAGAGCTTATAGATTGATTCTCAGAAGAATTTCTACTCTTCTATCAAATCTATTATCAGATTCTTCTTATAATAAGAAGAAAGCTCAGCTGTCTTTACTGAGCTGAATATCTCTGTAAGATCTTGACATTTCTCTGATATCTGAAGCTCAGTTTTCATGACTGTGAAGTTCTCAGACATTTGTAAAGTTATTATATAGATAAGTTTGTCTTCTCTAATTAACTCTGCAGTATTAACTGATTCTATCTCTGTAAGTAAGTCTGTTAACACTGATTGAAAGTATAAACCTGACTTATAGACAGCTATGTGTGAATGAAGTCTTTAAAGTTATATAAGTCTCAGATACATATTATCTGTGATATCTGTGATAATTACAGTTTCTGTAAATCTTCTTCAGATTTTGAAGAGATCTTGTAATTCAAAGATAACTCTTATAAGTCTCTCAGTTCTCAGATCTGAGTTCTCACATTCTGCTTATTATAAGAGCAGATTCTCAATTTTCATTATTCAGCTTATTCACTTTATGAGCTTTAGAAATACTACAGTGATCTGAGATTCTGAGTTTATTAATACTTCTTATACTTGCAGAGTAGTAGTACTGTGATATAATCTCTCTCTGTAAGTAAGTATTTTCATTAAGAGAGTAACAGATTCAGATATCAGCTTAAAGACTCTTAAGAAGACTGTTACTGACTCTGTCTGTAACTTCTTAAATTTCTATTTTAATTTATCTGAATAGTTTGTGTGAAGATATTTTAATTTAGAATAGATAAAGAAGAGTCTCTTTTTCTTAGTCTTTTTATTATATACTCTGTTTACAGAAGCTTATAAAGCTCTCTCTTTCTACTCAGCAGTCAGATATGAATCTCTCTATATTTTATTATCTTTTTCTAACAAATCTGTTCTCTGTTATTCTGACTCTTATAAGACTGATTAATAATCTGCTCTCTGCAGATCTGTGACTCTCACAGTAATCTATAAGTGATAAATAAGAGTTATCAGTTTCTTCAAAGTTAAGAACTTAAAGTCTTACTTAATAAGCTTATTCTGTATATTTTTATTCAGTCTCTTTATAAATATTATTATTGAGATCTTGTTTCAGAGCCCTGTTTTCACAGATCTTAATTTATATCATAATTTCATAAAGTATTATAAGTAGTCTTTATTAAATTTCTTATCTCTTTTTCTAATATTAATAATTACAGTTCAGATATTCTCTGTCTGACTTACAGAGTCTCTTAACTTATTCTCTAGATAGGTCTTGAGAACAGATCAGTGAAATCTCTTATAATTATTCTCTAGATAATTCAGTCAGTTCTTGACTTCAGTATAGTAGAGATCTGTTATTATATAGATAATAGCTTCTTCATCTTTCATATTACATAGTTAGGCTTATAAGTCAATTTCAAATACAAACTTGTAAAAGCTTTTATAGATTGTGATTTAATAAGTAGTTTTAAGTAATTGTAACTTAAGAAAGTTTCTTTTCAGTTTATAGATGTTTCTGAAGATCATGTCTAGAAACTCAGTTTAAGAATGTTTATAGATAGTAAGCATTTCTTATAGAAAAATAGCTTAATTCTGTAGAAGATACTCAAGAATGTTCTGCACTGAGATTGATTTATTTATGAGTTTGAAGAGTTTCTCTGTCACAGATGCAGAGAATAATATTCTGTAAGTAATTGATAAGTTCTCTCAGACTTCTTTTATAAGAGTTATTCATAATTCAGATAACTGCTTCTGAGTGTCTGCAGTCAGGTTTGCAGAGGTTAAAGTATATAAGTTTCTAATTCTTTCAGTTATAATAAGTGATTGCTAACTGACTGAGCTTGAAATGTAAGAATAAGTACTTACAGATGATTATTTAAGTGTTTACAGCTTGATATAATATATACTGTTAACTACTAGAAGTATTCACAGTAGAAAGATAAAATGTAGAGATTAAATGTATAATAGCATTTAAGCTGAGTTATGAATAGTATTCATAAACTTCAGTCTATATAGTTGTGTGTAGCCAAGGGCCGCTAACTCTATTGATTATATGAGAGATAGATATAGAGGTAAAGAATCTGTGAGAAGCGGCATTTCTTACACATATAAATAAAATCTTTTGAAAAGTATATTTTATTCTGATATACAAGTTATTTCTCTATCATATCAATTATTTATTGATGAATTTAATTTATATTGAAACATGTACTGAAGCTTGATAAGTTTTTATTTAATTTCTACACTAAGTGCTATTAAGTACTTAAAATGAAATAATATTTTTATTCTAATTTTTAATTCTTATAATATTAATTTTTCTAACACAGTTACTGTATTATCACATGATATATCTACACTGAATTATGAGAAGATTATAATGAATATTAATTAAAAAAAGATAAGAGTGATTATATTTTATATTACATTTCTTAAATATATACTGCAGTAAAATAGTAATACAGAAATTAAAGAATTAATAGTAAGAAGATTATACTGAAGCTGTTTTATTAATAATAAGAATTAACTAAATCTGAACTATAATCTATATAATAATAACTGATTTCACTATTATATATAACATCTTCAGGCTAAACTGAATAATCTGCTGAATCTCATACATAGAGATTAAATATATCAAGAGTAAGAAATAATATCACAGATCATATTTCTTTTTCAGATATATTTAAGTTTGAATTTAATCTCTTTTTTCTCATCTGATTTATATTATAGTGAGTTCACTGATTATTATTATTATTATTCTTCAATTATAGATGTATGCAGTCAGAGACTATGACATTTACCTGAGAACTTTTAGTTCTCAGAGTTTTTCCTATATCTGTAAAGTTAACTATTATACATTCATCAATTTCAGATATGCAAAATCAGAAAATTTCAGCTCAGAATACAAAAACTGTTTACAAATTGCAGTGTTTTTGTGGAAGGTGTAAAGCTTGTATGATTGAAAGGTTGCTAGCTTTGTGGGAAGTTATATGATGGAAGGATTAGTAAGCCAGATCACGTGACCTGACACTCCCACTCACCAGAGTAACTATACACGATGCTATATACAAAATTCGCCTTCAAATCAAGTACAGGTACAAAAAATGACTGGAAAATGTGTAGCAATGAAAAACCAGTCATGATATATATAATTTTTTATCCCTCTATTCCTCTATCTTCTTTATATTCTCTTTTCAACATGTATATTTCAAACAGTTGACCTCTTTAACACAGGCCTTGTAATAATACTTCCATTTCATGGAAGCTTTGGCATGTGTGAGGTTTTTCGGGATCAGAAGTGCAGTGATCTCGGGATTGGTGAGTAGGTCTTCAAGACTGTTCCTCACTGAAGATTCCCTCACTGTTGATTCCCTCACTATAGTGATATCCCTTGTAGATGTCGGAGGGTCATCAGATTCAACTGTGGGTTTCAGGGAGTTCAGTGTATTCTGCACTAAAAGGGTAGGTATTCTCGCAGAGATATCATAGTCAATCCACCAATTATTAGTGAGTATGAGAAATAATGGACACTCAGGTCGAATTTCCTCATCAATGAATAGATTATCAATTGATGGATCAGGAATCACTGCAGTCTCTTGACAGGCCGCAGTGGGTAGGCCTGGTGTCTTCGAAGGAATCGCTGCAGCCGCTTTACAGGCTGCATTGGGTAGGATCTTCGGGTTGTGTGGAGTAGTCGGTATTGATGAATTGGCAAGATGAAGGTCCTTCTGGAAGATGACATCCTTTGATATGTATAAACACCCGTTGGAGGGATCCTTGTAACAGGCTGGTACATTGATAACCTCTGTGAGGTTTGTCATCTGATAGGTCTCTGATTCATCTGTAATGAATAGTTGGGTTCTACTCTCACTATTCTTTTCCTTCTTTTCTTTGAATTTCTTTATCCTTGCAGTGTTGTAGATTCTTCAATTATCTGGAGCACTGTCTGGATTGATCAATCAACAGGTGTCAAAGTGAGATCTCTCACATTCAGGACAGGTAGATGGATTTCTCAATCCCTGATGGTTTCGGGAGCCCTCTTGTGAACTGCCACAACCATGTCCAGTACAGCCTCCACGGGCCGGATTCAATGTATTGTTGCTGGTAGTTGTTGTGGCCATTGTAGCTGTTGTAGCTGTGTTGACTGCAGAATCTATATTCTGCAGATTCTTTTTATCTTTTGGAGGATCAAGCCGCGAATGAATCTCCTTCATGAGAAGATCAACATTCAATACCACAGCTGTGGATTTGGAATCCTGTATCTTCTCTATCTTCTTCTGAACATAATTCCTCCAATTGTTGGGTAGAACTGAGTAGAAGGTATCAAATATTCACACATCTGGGGGGGAAGCATTCAGCATCTTCAATTTCGTGATGACAGACCGGAACTTATCAAAGAATGTATGTAGATTGATGACCTGTGTGCTACTAAGAGACATGAATTCCAGAACTGCCTCACAGTGTAACTGTGTTTTGAGGACAGAGTATTTCTGTTCAATCACATTCCATAGAGTATAAGCAATCTGATTTTCATCATACTTGGAGAAATGTGATCTGACACCTGCATCCAAGGAGTTCGAGATGAATGTGTAGAGCCACCGGTTTCTGGTGTCCCAGAATGGTGCTCATTCATCATCTCTTTATAGAGGGTTCTGAGTCTGTTGTTTCTCTATTATATATCAGCACTGTGCATCAATCAGTTTCAATTTCATGAAGATGCTTCATGTGATGTAATTGAATGTATCAGTCAGACTGTTTAATCTCACAGTATTCTTGACATCTTCCTTGAATTGAGAGATTGCCTTGTCAACACAGCTATCTGATTCATAAAGATTGAATTCCAACCTTTCACTGAGATTAGAATTCCATGTGACTGTTGATGTGATGATAGAATGATTGTTGACATTCTGAGATCAATCTGTAGAGAATCTCTGTTAACAGAGTTTTTTCAGTTATAGTTCAAGTTCTAAGACTCTTTGCTTTCTCTTGTTCATCTCAAGCATTATCTTGAGATGTTTCATCTGTTGATCTGATATTATCTCACTTGAACTGTTGAATTCATGAGAATCAGCTTTATCAAGCTGTTAAGTAGATCAGGAGGCTGGCCTGACTGTGTCAGAAGCTGTATTCAAACCAGCTTCAAATCAAGAGAGTGTTGCAGAGTGTTCTTCAATGAAGCTTTCAAAGACTTCAGAAGAATGTTCACTGACAGAGTATGAGTGTAAAGAATCATCATCATCAACTGCAACTGATTCAGTGAAAAGAACATGAGATTGCAAATGTGTGTGTGAGTGTGATCATATTGAATTCATCATCTTGATATTCATTTATTAAATCCTTGTCAATATCATTCTCTTTTTTTTTTTTTTCTTACTTTTTTGCAAATGTGATGTGTTTTCTACAAGCCTCTTTTTTAAGTGAGCAGTAGTATTATTGATCATCAAGATCTCAAATGCATCAATACTGATAGAATAAGACAATTTTAACTTCTGAAGGGCGTATCAAATGAAGCAGTAGTTCAAATAGATTATATTGACAAGGAATCCCGAATTGGCAGCGATTTTTGCGCAAAACAGGTCTCATAACCTGTGGAAGGTGTAAAGCTTGTATGATTGAAAGGTTGCTAGCTTTGTGAGAAGTTATATGGTGGAAGGATTAGTAAGCCAGATCACGTGACCTGACAGTTTTAACATCATCTCATACTTTGAAACCATTTGACAATATCATGACAAAGGAAAAGAGAACACAGTCTTAAAGATAGACACATTAAATAGATAGACAGAAAGAAATTGAAAGAAAAAGATAAAATAAAGAAAGACTGTAACAAAACAAATTATTAAAAGATAGTATATAGCTGTTTTAACAGACTATATCTGGTTGATTTACTCCTCTTCATATTCAGATAATTCTGAATTTAGCCATTTTAAGTTCACTGATATATCAGAGATTTTACACTTATTACTGATTAATACTATCTTATCACTATATAATTAGCTAGAATACTTCTGAATATTATAGATATTCTCTTTTTCTCACAGTTAAAATTATCTACAGTTATCAATTACTTATCTTAAGAAGTATCATCTTTAAGAACATGTTTAAGCTTTAATTATTATATCTCTTATCTTATAGTATAAGCTTAGAGAGAAATAACTCAGTTTGATAATTAAGCAGATTATTTCTATAGTATTTTCAGTATTAAATCAATCATCTATTAATCTTATTATTTAAATATATACAATTATTGTAAGAAGTAATAGTCTATTAATATCTCAATCACTGAGAGAAAATAATTCTGAAGTAACTTATTAAATTATACTGAGAGTCTGTTAATAACTATAATTTCTTATTAAAATAGTAGTCAGAGTAACAGTGATATTTAAGTTATCTCAAGCTGATTTAGTTATTAGTCATCAGTCATTCTCTGTTCTAACTATAAGTACTGTTATTATATATATCAGTAATTATATAAAAAAAGCAAAGCTTATATAATATATAAAGAAATAACTGAATATATATATTAATTTACACTATATTAAGTAGATTAAAGAATATACAGTATTTAACAACTGTAATATTCTAATGAGAGAGAATAAGTATTGAGACTATAAGAATCTAGTACAGTAAATAAATTATTAAGATATGAAAAAAACACTACTCTTACAGAAGAGCTTTTATTAAACTTTATAATTAATATTAAGAGATTTCTTTGACAGCTCTGATATATATCTGATACAGAAGATTCAAGATTTATATACAGTTTACTCAGCACTGTTTAATAATCTGTTAAGAATAAATAAAGAAGCTGAAGATAAGAATAATAATTTACTAAACTACTCTATTAAGTTAAAGTTAATAAAAGATTATATTACTCTGAAGATTTTTAATTATCTATTATTAAATAAAATATTAGAAAAAGTTAGTATATAATTTATAAATCTCTTTAAGCTTGAATTACTTCATTTATTTCTTAATAAGCTATAAGAATTCTATAATATCAATTGAAATAAGCTCTCAGTTTTAAAATCAGATTATTATTTAATATTTTTCTATAATAAGTTAACATTCTCAGTTCAGTATATCTATTCAATTAATTAATTAATTAATCAGTTATTAACTTATTAATATATAAATCAGAGATTGCATTCACTGAATCTCTCTTATAAAAGAGAATATTATTCAATATCAGAGAGCAGAGCTTGACTGAATTATAATTATATTTATTTATAAAATGAAAGAAGTTAAGTGAATTTTCTTTACACTTATTTCTCTATATCATATTATACATGATTATCTACTGAATCTACTGATTTTACAAGAGAATTCTGATAATTACACTATTATTAAACTGTCAGTAGTTTAAAAAACAGTATTATATAATATTTTAATACAGAATAGTAATAAAAATAATAATTATTTAATATATAAGTTTCAAGTAATAAGATATTTGTATTATAATTAAGATATCTTATTTCTTTAAATAGATAGTTAATGAATAGTAGTTGAGTAAGAGATAACTAGCTTAATAGTATATTAATTTCACTGATAGAACAGTATATAGTATCTTATAATATCTTAATAGTATTCTGATAATAATATCTACTAATTACACAGTTACTGAGTAGTGTTATAATAATGTTAGAAAGTTCTACACTGTCTCAATATTATCTTAACATTTAATATTTAGCAATATGTCACTGAATATAATGATGAAACATGTGTTACAATCAGTGACACGTGACACAGGTGAAATGATGAATTCACAGTGTAATTAGACTGACCGTGTGACCGTGTCTGAGACCAGGACTAGATTTTTTGATAGTCTTATTATCAATTCAACTGATCTCATTACACAGTTTTAACATTAGATAGTAGTCTCATACTGTCTTAGTGAGACTTACTGTCTACTCTTGTTACATTTTTCAAATGAGATCATGATTTTCACTTCTCAATTTAAATTATTTTTATTGCTTTAAATGACTTTAAATCTCATTTGAGTATTATCAAAAAGTGTTACTTTTTAAAAAATTAAAAATAGTCTAAAAAAAACCTTAAAATATCTAAAAATAGTAACTTTATATCAAGAATGAGACTAAATGAGATCAAATGAAATCACTTTCTCATTTTTTTCAAGTCATGGTTTCATTTTAAGATCTGATATATAGTCACTTTATCTGTTTTTTTGATAGCCAGTCCCAGCGGGATTCACGCCAAGAAATGTATGAGACCAGATCAAATGAGATCAAATGTGAAATTCATGGTCCCGGCGGCCAGTCTAGGTGTAATCACCGTAAATTAACCCTACATTCTTCCCGTATTATCTCAGCGGGCTCAGACCTCTGGCTCGGTTTGAACAGGTTGCAGCATTATTATTAACTAGTTAATCCGGCATGACACTAACCTACTTTTGATACAAGTCATGTGCTCAGAGCAATCCTCACCAGAGAGTCTAAGAAGAAATAATTTCATCTTCAATGAAGATTTCTGAGATTTACAAGGATTTTTCAGATTCTTTAACTTTGACTTTCTATTACTATATATTCACATATCTTTGAGATTTGAAAATCACCTTAGCTTATAGCTAAAGAGAAGAAGAATAGAAATATTTCTTTAATATTTCAAAAAAATCTATATTTAAGATAGATGTATACTCTTGAAAATGATCATATTTTTTGATCTCAGAATTTCTAAGAGCTTTTTTTTATATGAGGAATTGAATCAAAATTTCTGTGTTCAAAAACACACTGATTAACTTTGAGATGATACTTCTATTCTAAGAACTTGAGATATGAATATAAAAATCAGATATATTACAAGAACATTGTTATTCTAAGGTTTCAAGATGATACAGAAATAATGAATCTATGAAGTTGAGTTGAAATTCTCTTTCATACTCAGAGTACTGAGCAAATTCTTCTCATATTACTAATAATCAGAAATCATTTCTTCTCAGATGCTTTGCAAGATATCATCACTCACATGACCTGATTTTACTATTTGAGTTAGCTTATTGCTTATTTGAGATTAGCTCATGACATAATCATCAATTCAGTGTTAAAACAGCAATAAATAGATATCTGAAGAAGCATCTGAGCTTGCTGAGATAATTCCCGTATGAATGCTTCTAAGGTACCACGTGACATATAACAAAGATCTGTAATATTTTACGCAGTCTAGCAGAAGATGCGCTTGAACCGAGACATTATGATGTTTGTCGTTCAATGTGTCTCAACCAGGTAGTTGAGAGCTTGACGTTTCTTTACAGGATACTGCTTCGGTTGCGGAGTTGGCTCGATTACTCGGTGAGTGAATGATGTTTGAAGTTTCAAGGTCAGGCACTGGACGAATGTTTAACCGTAGCATACAGACAGAAACCGACTTCTAAACTGGAAAAATTCCCAGAACTCAAGCTTGAATCTCTGACTATATAGGCAGTGGTCTGCTCTTCAACCAAAGACATCAAAAATAAGTACAATTGAGAACTTGGAAAATTCATAATCCGCTAGCAGCCAGTGTTATCTTGTTTGTTTTATACGCTGTAAGTAGTCTCACCTACGTTTACAAATTCCGGCAATCCCGCGGCTTAGCTTCTCATTCCGAAGGTGGTGATGTGGCAAAGTTTCCCATCAGAAAATGATAAATTTCCCAAATTTCCCACTTTTCCATTTCACTCTCAAATTTCCCCATTACCTCATTTCAAATATCAGTATGGCATTACTGCAAGACTCACTTATCAAATTGTTGAAAGAAGAAAGGTAAAAGTACTACAATGACACTCACAAATCAATCACTCATCAGCTCAATTGATTCAGCACTAGTTACTAACTTCTCAAAGACAACTTTCAGATCTTGCAACAGAACAAATTCTCAACACGTCAGAGGAAAACTCTGTCAGACTACTACTAATGCTACTTCTTTATGCTGAGCTTCTGCTGTCATTAGATCTTTCTTTAATTTTATGCATATTTTTTAGTCATCTCTTCATTTCACTCTCTTTTACAATCTTATTTGCTTTCAAGATGTATTATTGAATTGACTTTCAAGAATAAGCTGAAGAACTCTCTTTAGTCTATATAAAGTTACATAATATGAAAAAATCATCTCTGCTGTAATAACCTGCTATTTGAGTTATAACTGTCTTCATTAACAGAGATTATAAGTGCCACAGTATACATACTCATTAAATCATATATGTTGATTCAAATCACCTGCTGACTTGTGTGCAAAACACTAAAAAGTGAAAATGTAAAATTGTAAAACTGCAAAATCACTTTTTCACAGAAGTGTAGAAATGCAAGTCATATTAACATGTTAAGAAACAGCTAAGCTTTAACAGTTAAAAAGATAGTCTTTAAACTCAGGTTTCTATAAATGATGATTCTTCTTAGTTACTGTGCTAGGTAGAAGTAGAAATAAAAAATAGTGAAGAAAGTAATGATTCTAAAATTTATTATTGATTTTTTGAAGTTAGTGTTTCTGAGTGTGAGTGTGAATTCGCAGTGTCAGAGTAATTAAAAGCAGTGCAATTATCTTTCACTGTCAGCTGTTATAGCTCTTAAAGATTAATTCTGAGTCTTAGTAAATAAATTAATTAACTAGCAAGATCACTGAAAAAACTCATCACTGAAGTCACAGCTTGGCATTCTTATGATTATAATGAATAAAGTAAACTGATTAATCACAGCTATCTCAGTTATATCTTAATGTTCTTCTGATTCAGATCATCAAAGACAGATCAGATAAAGAGATAATGAAATACACTTAATCTGAAGAGAGAGAGGTTATGAAAGCTCTTGTAGTACAAGATAAGCTCACAAAATTGACTGATATCTATATAATAAGTAATTAAAACCATGAAAACGCGTTGAACAATGTGTCAAAGAACGCGTCACACACTGCTTCAGACTCTGAGAAGGCAAATCCGAGACCTTATTATTATTATTATTATTCTTCTTTCATTATACTCATATACAAGCGGAGCTTATGATGAGTCCTTGAGTGATGTTAAATACAGGTTAAGTGTTGATTATACAGAAGGAAATACAGATGTTGAGATCATATCAAGATAACAAGAACATAGAAAATACAAAGAAGTGACAATTAGATACATGCGATAATAACTTCCCAGCCCAGGAACATAGAGCGATTTATTGAAGCAATTTATTGAAGCGATTTGTACACCTCTGTATTTATTAGAAACCTGAGGTGCTTGAGTTCCGGATTTAATGTATCCCCTGCGGGTTTCGAACTCACACGCCTTGGTTTCCCACACCAAGGCGCTACTGGGTGGCCGCATTAACCATTCGGCCACCGGGGCGCAAATCCGAGACCTCACTGAACTATGAGACCCTCAACAAGGCTTGAAGACATTGACTTAGAACTGCTAAATGCTCTGAAGAAAAAGGCTACAGTTTCTCAGGCTGCAGCAATGTTGAAAAGCAGACTCAAGTTCAGGTTGACATTTTCAACAAAGCTAGACAATATCCACGCGATGATAACAGCATTGACTCAAAAAGCTGATAACTTGAAAACAACAAGCGGACCCCAGGACTTCACTGAAGAGAATGAGTTAAACAGACTCAATGAACTTACAAGGCTCATGGTAGAGCTAAGGAATATGATAACCTGACAAAGCCAGGTGATTGATACTCTAAAGATGGACTGTGAAGAGCTGAAAGCAGGTTAACAAATACTACAGGCACAAAATTCGGATCTTAAAGAAGAGATAACTACCTTAAAAACTCAAATCAATCAACTGTCATGAGTATTGATCACTATCATGAGTGTGAGTGAACACTCTCTTAATCTCACATCATTCTCACTCTTCAAGTCAAAGAACAGAGATCAGAAGAACGTATTACTATGCATTCAGATTAGTACAGTGATCACATCTACATCTAGTGACAAGATGAAAGACTCTCTCA